TAGAAAAGAAGGCCTGGCACTCTGTTTCCAAAAATCGACCAATGAAAACCCTATGGATCACAACACTCTGATCTGCACCCTATCCTTTTCTGTCCTCATAAGACATTTCATGGTCATGACACCTCCATTATCAAATAATGTTTTATACGAGGTCAAGTTAAAAACTATTATTTAGAGATTGCCTTTAACCTAATCTTGATCTTGTTGAACATACACTAATTTATACAACAATGCAATGTTGACCATGTAATAATTTGTAAAACAATGGGAAAGAATAGAGTTGGAAATGCAGCCATGTAAAAATATCCACAAACAATACCTTATTGAGCCTTAGATGTATAAGGAGGCTCAGTTACACATGAGTAACTTAAGTCACTACAGTGTGTGATTTACAGATTAAAAAAACCTTTTCTACTTTAGCTAAGACTTTCTCCATCAAAAATGTTGTACAACTGTGCCCTCTGTGGGACAAATCTTGTTACTATTTTGTTGGACTCCATGTAGACATAATGTTTCATAATCCTATCTATTCAAGCAAAAATTTCATTACTTGACTTCTGAATAATATTTCTGTCATGAGTTGGTTCTATTACACACCAATCTTCTAATCCTCTTTTAAAATTCCTGATAAAGAATCTCATCTACAGAAGATTCCAGACCCCAGTAAAGATGAGCTCAGTACTGCCTGCCATTATCAGCTGATAGTAGCCCATGTTCCATGCCCAAAAAGAACTCATCATATAAATATAATAATAATATAAATAATGCAAATATGGATTAACCTATTAGGACTTTCCCAAGTCTCAAGGAAATGCATTATGTATCTTTCCATTAAAGTATTATATTTGCAAATATCCCAATTACTGTCTCATTTCATTCTTTCATTTAACCAGTATTAGTTCTTGTGCAAGGAGCTTTGTAAAGATGTATAGCCTTAAAAACCCCATGGGGGTCACTGTGAGTCAGAAGTTCTTTGCCATGCTGTCGTCAGACTTGGTTAGCTGGAAAATGGAATTGTCTGACTCTCCCATCCTCCAAATGGCCCCACAGATAACACAGAGCTTCGAGTGGCTGTTGAACCTTCTGGTGCCCTTGTCAACCTCAGCTATGTTCATCAGAATGGGCGCGCGGACCTTGGCACCAATGATGCAGTCGCTGGCAAAGCATCTCCCTGGCACATGCAGGTCTACAAACTCACCAACATCAGTCGTTCTCTATGTTGAGTCAAGGCCTTTCCTGAGGTCACCATAATGAGTGTGAGAAGACGATGATCCAGAGGGTTTCCATTGGCTAATTCTCAGAAGCAGATCACCAGGCCTTCCTAGTCTGTCTTAGTCTGGAAGCTCCACTGGAACCTGTCCACCAGAGTGATGGGGTGATTCTGCTAGGATTTCAAGTACCTACAGCGTAGCTCAATGGCATCACTAGGGGGATGCAGGGGCTGTGGACCATACCAGGTAACACTATCAGAGAGGGTGACATCAAAATGACTCTCTATAAAATTTTTGGGCAGTGTTTCAGCAGAAATGTACTGTTTTTTATTAAAACATTCCTGTAGTTAGTTTTAACAACAAAAACATTTTTCTTTTTGTAAGCCCAGCTTCTATGCATCAATATGTCTACAAAGCTAAAACTCTGGGCTAATTTACTTTTTGAACCTTCTAA